TATTTTTGAAAACTTTACTATTCACTTTTTGAAAAATTAGGCTGATCACTATTCATCTTTTGACAAATTTGATATTGATTGGTTGTATTATTTTGACAAATTTGGTATTAATGGGTTGTCTTTTTTTGACAAAATTGATATGGAGTGAAAGGTTATATTTAATTTAAAATCTCTACAATATATACAGAAAATAGTATATATGATCAGATCTATTATAAATATTACTTAAATGGATTTTACTATATATGCAAATATTTGATTAGAATATTATATAGAATGCATATAATATAAACAAAATATATCACGTGAGCAATTAAATTTTTTACACTACATTGATTATATCATATTATAATAAAACAAGAAGAAAAAGATGGAGTTATATATTATAATAAAACAAGATGGAGCAAATCATTTGCTTGTTTGAAAGTTGTGAACTTTGTATTAAATTGTCTACAAAAACGGTGGCTCCATGTTTAAAAAAACAAAAAAAGAAAAGAAAAAATTAGTTTTACTTTTATCTTTTTAATTATTAACATTTGCTGACTATTTAAAATTAAGCAGCGCGCTTATGTAAGCCATGACGTCAACAGTGTGGTTATATAAGCCATGACGTCAGCAAGGAGCGTCCAACGTGTATATTTTTGTGTATAAACAGAAGTGTTGTGTGTGGAGAAAAATCAAGAACTTGAAGAGAAAATTTTCTGTGAGCTCCAAAATTTTGAGTATATTGTATTCTGCTCTTTCACTTTCAGATCTAAGTCTAGCCTTTGTTCTTACACTTTCATATCTACTCTTAGTGAGAGAATTATTGTAAAAGAGGGTTTAAGTACCACTTATTCTTATTCCTTATTTTTGTGAGAGATTTTGTAAGGGTAAGGCATTTATTGTTGAGTGAGGCTCAATAGATAAGAGTAAGTCTTGTGCCAAATCCACAAGCTTGATGGTGTATTTATTCAATTGATAGTAAAGAAATTCTCAAGGAGGTTCCTTGGGAAGTGGACATAGGCCTGGCATGCCGAACCACTATAAATCTCAGTGTTTGATTTTCTCTCCCTATCTCTCTTACTTTTATATTGATAATTATTATTCTGTTTTTTTATTTATTAAAATTCTGAATAGTGTTAATTTTAATATTGTGAAATTTTTAATAACCCAATTCACCCCCCTCTTGGGTTGCCTACCTGGGATAACAACATTTTTATTGTTTGGTATGACATAACACAAAAGGCAATACAAACATTTTCCAAGTCAACAAAAAACAAGGTTATTTGAGTAAAAAACGTTTTGCAAACTAAAATCTTATCAATGGCATCACACTTCCACTAACACACTGCTACCACCATATCACCCTACTACCTCCACCAACACCATCACTAATACATTAGTTTCAAGGTTGGAAAAAAAATTTATATTTTTGTCAAAACAAACAAAGGAATTAAAAATAATGAATGCATAGACATGAAAAGGAATTGTAAGATAGAAGCATCACCTGGTGCAATACATCCAAATGTTGCTATTGTCCTTGTTTGTGCAATGCTCTCCCCCACACCTAACAACTTTGCAATGCCGAAATCACTCACATGTGCAACCATATCATCATCTAGTAACACATTGCTTGGTTTCAAATCACAATGAGCCACAGACACTGAATAACCATGGTGAAGATACTCCAAGGCACAAGCCACATCTATCATTATGTCCAACCTCTGCAGTATATCTAAGAAATAGTTGTGAGAATACAACCATTTTTCTAGAGTGCCATTAGGCATGTACTCAAGCACGAGGGCTTTAAAATCAAGGGTTGAGCAACTGCTAATGACTTTGGTGAGATTTCGATGACGTATGTTGCGCAATATTTCACATTCTGTTTCAAAACTTTTGAACGCACCATCTAGTTCCAATTTGAACACCTTCGTAGCAAAAATTTTCCTACCAGGAAGCATTCCTTTATAAACTGAACTGAAACTCCCTGTGCCAAGCAAGTTGCTTTCACTAAACATATCGGTCGCTCTTGAAAGTTCATGGTATGTAATTCTTCCATGGCTTATTCTTGCGAGTAACAAATTAGTTTGAATTGGAATTTTGTTTCTTCTTCGGTGGCGTCTTATAGACGCAAATACAAAGATCATGGCAAGCAACATGGATGCAATCGGCAACAAAATGTATACAACTAGCAATATTTGTTTTGTTCTCGATTGATGAGGAGAGCTGGTATGGCATGGTGGGACTTGCAACCGAGGAGCACCACACAATGCTTCATTTGACATGAAAGATTGATATGTGAAGTTTGCGAAAGACCCTCTACTTGGAATTTCTCCTGTTAATCTATTGAAAGATACATTGAAGTACATTAGCTGTAAAAGTTCCTCTAACGACTTGGGAATTACACCAGATAGATTGTTATGAGATAGATCACAAAATTCCAAGTCTATCAAACTACCAATTGACTGAGGAATTGGCCCCTGTAATCTGTTATGTGCCACAGAAAGATTAATCACACCTTGTAGACCTCCAATGGTGCTTGGGATTTGTCCTGATAATTGGTTCATTGATAGATCAATGCTAATTGCAACCTTTAAATTGCCAAGTTCTAGTGGTAAATATCCACTTAAATAATTCGAGGATAAATTCAGTTCCAAGAGATCCTTGAGGCTCCACAAATTTGTGGGTATGCTAGAAATTAATTTGTTTGAATCTAGATCTAGATATCTTAGGGAAGTAATATTCCCTAGGCATGCCGGTATCAGTCCAGAAAAGTTATTTTTTCCCAAGTACAAAGCACCCAGGTTTTTTAAATAGCATAGATTAACCGGTATGAATCCTTGTATTCGGTTGTCATAAAGAGAGAGTATTTGAAGCTTGCTTAAATTTTTGATTGTGATTGGAATGAATCCTGTCAACTCATTGCCATCTATATTTAAGAAAGCTAAATTGCTTAAGTTAGCAATTTCACTGGGAATGCTGCCTCTGATTCCACAATAACTAGCATCAATATTGCCCAGAGAATCGGAGAGATTCCCAATAGAAGCTGGAAGGATGCCGTTTAGAGGATTGCTACTGATCACCAATTTTGTTAATTGTCTGCAACTTGACAAGAAAGTGAGGAAGTTCAATTCAAAAGAGGAAGAATATTCACAAGTGAAGTTGTTTCCTGATAGGTAGAGATAGTCTAGGAGTCTTAAGTTGCCGAGTGAGCTTGGAATTGAACCATTAAACCTGTTATTGGAAAGAACTAATATAATGAGTTTAGAAGCATTCGAGATAGAATCGGGAACAATTCCACTGAGTTCATTTTCTCCAAGATGAAGTCGTTCAAGGTTGGGTAGCGAAACACCTATACTTGATGGAAGTTTACTTGAAAACTGATTTTGCGTAAATGCAATAATTTGTAATGTTGAGATATTGAAGATTGTTGCAGGAATAGGGCCCATTAAGTTATTGTACTGGAGATATAGTCCTTCCATTTTTGGAAGCATACCAATCTCCTCTGGTATTGAACCTGACAAAATTTTAAACAACGATTAAACTTGTAGAAAATGTCATTATGATTACATTGAAAAAACTAATCAAGAGTGTCGTTGGTGTTTTTCTTTAAAATCCACAAAAGTATTGTATTTAGGATGTGGATGTGCAACTAGATTTGTTGGATTTAATATAGTTCTCATAAATATAGTGAAGGGATCAATGGCAGCTCTGGGATTTTTGTTTATTGGGGTCAATAAATTTCCACAAATTATTATTTAAAAAAGATTGTTTTACTCTTATCGATATCCATTTTTAATAATTTAACAAAGAAAATTATATTTCTTAAAATCATAAATAAATACTACTATTTTTACAAAAAAAGAAACATACAAATACATAAACTTCATCATTGCTATCAACGAGTTTTTGTATTTTGAAATCATTGCATAATTGTCACATTACAATGTTATCAAATGCCTCATTTTGCAATGTATGTGATTGATTTCTTGAAGAACACATGAATGTCATTTTCTCTTTCTAGAATCGAGCTTCAAAACGATGCATGGCTTACAAATCATTTTCAATCATGCAATGCAATAACATAAACATAAAGAACATCATGAGCAGATCAAGGATCTAACCTTAGAACGCGGATCTAACGGTTGGATCTCTAGAAATCAAGCTTGAAGATCTACTCTCTCTCAAGAACTCTTCTCCCTCTTCTAGAGCTTCTCTCTCTACTCTTCAAAACAATATACAACAAATGATGGGTTTCTCTCTCTGCCGGCTGACTTAACTCTCAGCTCGGACACGTGGCAACGGTTGGTTGGTTCTCTTCAAAAAGGTGATGGATTGACAAGACAAGGTTCTGACAAGGCGTATCTAACAAGCTACTCGGGGTGGCACTCCGGCAAGTGGTGACATCGGCTAACCACAAGACTTCGGCAACTAGGGTGACAATGACCTCGGCCAGGAGGGACAACACTTGACTAAGCTGTGCCACATCTTGGCCTAGATGCGCCACACCTCGGCCTAGGTCACACCACTTCCAGGACGAGATCACCGGGGTGCAAGGTAACATCTCGGCTAATGTGTTCAAGGCAAGGACGGAGGTCAACAAGGGGTTCCAAGGTACTAATGCCAGACTAAGGATGACCTCGGCATCGAAATAACGTCGGCTAAACATAACTCAGACAAGCACATAACACTTAGACAAATCACAAAGGTATCAAATCAAGACATGGATCACACTTGTTAAAGCAAAACAAGTCACAACACACACATGCAAGCTTAACAAGTCATAATCATGCAAATGCTCATGAACATGATTAAGATGAAAAAAAATGTGGGTTCTTACACTCACACACAAACATTGAGTAAAATGCAGATGCACTGCAGTGATTGCTTCTGAATATGGGCTGAGCATTGTAGAGAATCCACCAAAGAATGTAGAGAGTAGAATTTAATCAAAGCAGTCAGTCATAGAGATTAATTATTATATATGCCTTTAGCTTCATTACTACAAGTAACCTTTCTGGTATGACTGGAAAACATGATTATGGAAAGCAAAAGGATGGCGATTAATTATAGATTCATGCTTCTGACTAATCCGATAATTACCTATAAACTAAAAGGATAGTTCAGAAAATCCTTTTTGTCATATGTTTCACATGCCTCATTTTACAATGTGCCTCTCATATTTTTAATTGGACTTGATAGATTTTAAATCTTAGTAATACTTTTTGGTTTTCTTCTTAATGCTTTCGTTTCTTGTTTTCTGTTTACATTACATTTTTTTTTTTTTTGAAAATTGAATGTGAATTCACTTCATGTAGTAAATACATATAACTTTCATATTGACGGATATATAAACTATCACAAAAGGTATCAAACTCCTCGCTATAGGAGTTGAATCTACAACCTTGCACTACAAATGGTGTTGCACGTTGGTTGTATTAAGGATTGAGCATTTTGATGTCAAATGGATTTTAATTCTCTCTGTTCCATGTATATAATGAAAGATTTTCATTATATAAATTGTTTGGGATGTGCTATATAAGTGTACTTTTTGATTTTTTGGTTAAAAAAGTGGAGAAAAAAAGATGTATGTTTAATATAACTTTTTGACTTTTTACGAAAAGATGTGTAATAAAATATTATAGTAAAATCAAAATGACCATTATACCCTTATTGACCTTTTGACTTTTAGCTTTTTGACTTTTAAGTAATTGAATTCAAAGGGCAAAATAATAATTTTGTCTCTAGGCTTACTTATATATTAAACTATCATTTTATTTTTCACAATTTTTTTTGTAATTCTTGGACTTAGTATTTTTTTTTCCTGCTATAAGTGTTTGAACTTTTTTAAGTTCAAAAAAAAAAAAAACCATTAATGAAAGTAAGAAAGAATATGCATGTTTCTTGTTTGAATTAATTTTAATATTTAATTTAATAAAAATAATTTAAATGAGAGAAACAAAGATGGAGATATAGATTTTAGATGTAATAAATAATAAATTATTTGAGTGTTTTATTATTTTCGAATAATTTCTTTCTTCAAGTAAAATTTCATTCTAATTAGATGTAAGAAATGACAAATTATTTAAATTGCTTATTATTCTTAAAGGGTATTCTGGTCATTCTGGTCATTTTTACTTAATAAAAATAAACAAATGGCTTAGATCGTAAACAAATCAAAAAATTAGAATTTAAATTGACATAATAAAAAACTTAAAGTTTATTTTATTATAAGAGTCAAATTCTTTTTTTTTTTCCTTTCTAAATATTTAATGTGTGCCTTGGGTGGTTGAGAATTTCAACGTGCCTTTTTTTTTTTTTAAAATCGGAATGTGCCTTTCATTTTGAATCTTGAATTCAGATAATGTGGTTTTAGTTTAGAGCGACCTAGAATTTTTTGCACTATTTTCTGTTCATATTTTATTTGGAATAAACTTTAATATTTGTTGTATATCTAAGCATTTGTTTTAGGTTTTGTAGATAGATGAAGCAGAGAAATCAATAAATTTGGTGGTAATGATTGACAAATTAGTTTGAACAAATATTGTTGATTAATTCTTTACTTTGATGATATTCACTGGGCTTTCATTGACTCTTTATATATATATATATATATTTATATATTTAATTTACTCTAAAAATCAATTTGTATACCATTTGAAGACCCAAAACCCAAACCTCAAAGTCCAAACCCAAATTCTAACTCCCATCTCTTTCTCCTCTTTAATACAATGTTTGGTTACTTAAGAAAGAAAAGAAATAGTAATTATATGGTGTTTGGGAAGAAAAAAAATAGCCAAATTTAGGCTAAAAATCACAAAAAGACAAAATAGGCTAAAATAGCTAATAAGACAAAATATCACATCAAATCCATAATCATTTCACTTTTTCTCTCACAAACATCACATCCAACCACAAAAAAATCTAATCATCTTCCCAAACAAAAATTTTTTAGCCTACTTAAAATAGCCAAAAACTAAAATAGCCTACTAAAATAGCCACTTCCCAAACGAGGCCATTTAAGAAAGAAAAGAAAAGAAAATAAAAGAAACGTTTATTTGGATGAATAGAAGAGAAAAGAAAGGGAAAAATATTGATTATCTCCTATATTATTTGGTTAAGTTATATAAAAGAAAAAAAAAAATAATTTCATGTTATATTACCAAATTAACTTGCTATAGGTGCCAGTCTTTTTATTTCTTCAATATCTAGAAGGGTAGTTTTGGTATTATAATAAAATATAATATTTAGTTGGTGTCTTTTTTCTTCCAATCTCATTACTTTTTAGAGAGATTTAAAATAGGGGTTATGAGAGAAATTGATTTCTCTTCCTTTCTTCCCATTTCACTCAATTTCTCTATTTTTTATTTATTCAAACTAGTGATATCACTACAACAATTTACACTTTTGGTGATCAAATTTGGCGACCAAACTTTTTTTAGTCGCCAAAAGTTATAGAATAGGCGACTAAAAATTACATTGGTCGGTGTTGAATATGGTTTTTAGTCGGGAATTGTATACATTTGGCAACTGAAATAATTTTAGTCGCTAATTACCTTCACCGACAATTTTTTGGCGACTACTTTTGTGACCAAATAATTTAGTCGCTAAAATCATTCGGCAACTAAAAAATAAGCTTTTGGCGACTTAAAATTTAGTCGCTAAAAGTGAAAATTCTTGTAGCGTATAGACTAAGAGAAATACATTTCTTTTCTTTTCTTCCCAAATCACCTAAGCCAAATGGGCTATAAATTCACCCCTAAACTTCTAGTGCTCTTTTAGTCTTCCCTCTACCCCAACCTCCACCATCTCTCTACCTCTATTATTCTCCATTGTCCCTTTCCTTCATCATCCCACCCTGTACTATGATCATTGTTTATATATACTCAAACATCGCTCTATTTAGTTGAGTTTTTATAATTTGTTTTTTGAAAAATTTTAAAAAATTAGTTTGGTGAAAAAATTGAAACAAATATCAAAAGACTAATTATTTTCATATGGCTTTCTCTTTTTGGGGTGAATATTTTTTGAAAATTCAAAAATATAAATTTATTTTGTTAAACTTGTTCCTAATTATTCAAAAAAAGAAAAAAAATCCAAAATTTACTTCTAAAAACTCAACTAAATTTCAATATAATTTATTTTGATGTACATGGCTACCAAAGTGTCATTTTTCCATTGAAAATTGGGTAATGCTTTGTTTCGGAAGTAAAATGAGAAAAATTATAAACATTAAGGCCAAAGTAGGTAGAAAAAAAATTTTAAGGGCCAAAGTAAGATATTGTGAAACTTAAAGGGGAAAAGTGCAATTTATCCATGTAATGCCACATGGCTGTTCTCATGGCGACACATGGTTGCTAATGTGGCATTTCCATCCAAAATTTGATTGAAGTTTGCTGTGGGAGTAAATTGAGAAAAAAATTCAAATGTAAGAGCCAATGTGGAGAAAAAAAATACTTTCAGGGTCAAAGTGAAAAATTTT